GGACCCAATTACATGTCGGATGTGGACTTGCAACTGGGACAAAAAACGGGTCAGGCCTCCACTTGGTCCTGACCTACCATGATTGCTTTCAGGAATTTGTTTCTCTCATGTCATGGATAGAAGGCTTTGTTGTAACAAAGGCATTGCGGTTTCTCTTAATCGAAATCGAAGAGGGAGCTCTCTTTATAAAAATAAATAATTGTGACTAATAATGGTGCATCTTTGAGACTAGGCGTGCATCCAAGTGATGGATTGTGGACAATGGACGTAGGAAAGAATATGTTGCGAACAAATCATACTGACATCTGCTACTCGACTTTTGATTTCTATACATACAAGCAAAAGAGCCTGTTGCAACAACATGCTGAAAAAACACACACCCATAACCCAATAACCATGACTCAAGATCACGTCCTTTATTTCAACATGACATCTCATCTGAGCCACAAACATGTTTGAATGCGGTCAATCATAAGGCGTCTTTCTCGCCATAAAATGAGAAATCTATTGTTTTCTCCTATGAGGTTATCGATGGTTTCTTTTTTCTCCAATTTGATTTTGCTGAGGTGTTCTGCAATTTGAATCAACGCTGATAAGAAAGAAAGACCGATCGTGCGCTATTGATTAACATTGCACCATAAATTGTATTTTTTTAAATATTAATAGGTAAAATAACATCACATTCGAATTTTACACATTTTTTTCTAATCAAACTTCATACTTAATATATGAAAAATGAAGTTAGGGTTCAAGAGACAGGGATATTTTAGAAAAGTATTTGCGGTCAGTGGCTATTGTGGTCTTCAAAGCCTTGTATGATAAGGGCAGTTTTTTTCGCTTACCGTTGGTTCAGTGTATTTTTCAATCTTCAACAGGGGTGTACAATTGAAGGAGGAAGAAAACATTTACTATGTAATTTTATTTGCTAGTGGCTGTTTTGTGTTTTGTTGTCTCCACATTCTACTGTCTACTATTTTCCTCGAGAAATTTCAGTTCTAATATGCTCTTTGGATGACTTTTCTATACTACTTATAAAAGAGCAAACATTATTTTCTCTAAGTGCACCCCACAAAACGTACACGGATACATTACCACCGCATGATTACTCCTACTAAACTCAATCTAACGGCTAGCCTTAACCTAATATGTTCTTTGTGTGCACTTAGCAATTTACATTGACTGACCGTACTCGACCGCAGATCTATACTACTTATAAAAGAGCAAATATTATCTTCTCTAAGTGCATCCCACAAAACGTACATGGATACATTACCACCGCATGATTAGTCCCACTAAACTCAATCTAACGGCTAGCCTTAACCTAATATGTTCTTTGTGTGCACTTAGCAATTTACATTGACTGACCATACTCCACCGCGGAGGAAAATATGAAAGTCTACGCCTGGTCAATTATGAAACTATAATCAGGGACACATCCTATTAAGAAACTAATCACGGGCTCATCTAATTATTAGAAAACTAATCACAAAGGCATCCCATTATTAGGAAACTAATCACGACGCATCCTATTATTAGGAAAATAATCACGCGCATCCTATTAGGAAATTAATCACGGACGCATCTAATTATTAGGAAACTAATCACGGACGCATCCTATTAGATAACTAATCATGAACGCATCTAATCATTTAGGAAAACTAACCACGAGCGCATCCTATCGTCTCCTATCATGGAATCGTGATCGCGAGTCGCCTGCCGTCACTGGCCCACCATCCACGTGAGCCACAGTGGGAGACACGCGAGGAGGAGCCATGACTTCCTGTGAACACACACACGTGCCGTCGCCGCCTTCGTCTTCTGCCTGGAGGCCAGGTCACTCTTCTACTGACTGCAACGACTTCGTCCATGTCCTGGGCATGCTCTCCGGGAACCACCGGCATCCGCGTCGACTTCAGTTCCGTCCACAACACCCACGCTGACAACCACCCACCGCCGACGCCCTTCAAGTGGGGGCAACCCTGAATATCCTGGATCAGTATAAGCGGGCCAAAAAAATCGAGTGGGGGCATTCGCCTCCACAACCATGCATGTAGAATCGCCTGGTCGCCAACCATCATCCTCCCTTGGGCGGTGCAGGTCTCGGCCACTGCGCAGCATGTGAAGCTAATCACGACCCGTTCTCACTCACCCGTAGCCACCGCCGACTCCCTCAGCTCTGACACGTGCTGCTCCTGGACACGCTTGTCCAGTATTCACGCGTGGATGACGTCGTCCAAAGACATCCTACCTTCGTCGGACGCTGGAACTCCCCACGCCCCGGTGCGTGGAGGCCGCCGCCTCAAAGCTGGACGACTGACTCACCTGCGTCGACAACGCCGCCCAGCTGGTGAGAGGCCTTAATGACGGAGAGGCTTTCCGTCACGCGAACACGCCGCACGCACGCACTAATCAGGTAAGTACCAAGTGTTGTTTTTTTACTGTCATCTCTACCTCACCGGTGGTGACACATCTAGAAGTACAGGAACTAGAGATGAGGCAATGAAAAACAGAGTAGCGCTGGAGCACACATAGTTGGGTTTCAGGCAACCAATGCTTTCTTTCTTTGTTTCTTTATTTTTCACTGATTTTCGCGTACCTGCAATAGACATCCTTGTTTTTTTAAGTACTGACTACCAATTATTACATGACCAACTCACGACTACATAGTGAACTCACAGACAAACTCGCTGAACCAAGACCTTACTTGCAGTCATGAAATTACATTTGACTGAAAAGAATCCCAAAAGTTTGCATAAGTTTTAGTGAAAAAAAAACTAAAGTTTGCATAAGTTTAACTAAAAAACCTGAAGTTTGCATAAGTGTATTTGTTTGTCCAGCAGATACATGGCAATTGTAATTTCACATGAGCATTTTCATACCGTCCTTATCTACAGTTGAGTTAACATGTTTTCTTGATAGAAAATTTGGACCACATACAAGAGAAGCAAAAAATGCATGTTGATTATAATGATGACGAATGTAGGATATTTTGTGGTCATGGTAAATTCTCATATCATTTATTTTATTTCATTATTGCACTCTACATTACATACTACGCACGACCACTTTGGTAGAGGTGACGAGTTCGCATCATACAGAGAGACCAACCATGTTTCTCCGAATATCTTGAATCATGATCCTTATAAATTCATCTCTACTTCTATACTACTTATAAAAGAGCAAACATTATCTTCTCTAAGTGCACCCCACAAAACGTACACGGATACATTACCACCGCATTTTTTGTCTTGTTTCACAGCTGATTCTATGCAGTCAAGACATCTCTACACTTCTCTATCTGACAATGGCTTCCTCTTTTCAACAAACCATATAGGTCTCTTCCTATTATTGTGTTTGACACTCAATTGTAATAATAATTCTTGACTGGAGTTTGTTGGCACTGAAACGGTTCCTTAGCTTGTCCTAAGTGACATTTAATTTCATGTGTGATTATACTTGCATAAATGTGTGCATATGGAGAATCATGATGAATCTTCTAAATAATTTTAAGTTTTATACATTGGAAAAAGTGGGTGGTCTTTTAATACAGGAGACATGTTGATTAAGGAGAAACGATATTTCAAATTATTTGTACGAGTAGGGAATAAGATATTGTGTACTTTATAGGGAAATTTTAAATTTATGAATAAATTGTCTTGTATTAAGTTTAGTATAATTTGTTAATCCAAATAGACGTGTGTTGCATGTGCACACTTATTAGTCCAGTCTCAAAAACTGGTGAAGTCTTCCAGCCAAACGTCTGATCCGAGCGAGGAGTTAGGGTTAGCGTTAGGGCATTCGATGCCCGCGAGCCGCCGAAGACTCTTGCAGCCTTGCAGGGGGTCACCAAGCGCCAGCCGGAGTGAGTGACTAGAGAAGACGCATGGTCGCGTGGAGATCCACCTCGTCGATGTCGACATCCGGCCGCAACGGCGATGCGCTGGAACGCCTCTCCGGCCAGCTGAACTTCCTCCACGGCACCAACGGTGCCCTTTCCTCCGTACGCGGGAAGCGCCGACAAGGTCAGCTCTTGAGTCTCGACTCAGAGGATGTTTGTTTTAGGGACTTATTGGTTTAGGGACTTAAAAAAGTCCCTATAAGTCTCATCTAAACCAAACAGGAGGGACTTATAGGGACTTAAAGTGGGCATTTGAGACTTATAAAATAAGACTCTCAAGGAGGGACTTATAGAGACTTATAGTTATAATATGGTCTTATAGAGACTTATAAGTCTCAGAAACCAAACATGTAGAGACTTTTTAGAAACTTGTGACTTATAAGTTGGGACAAAAAAAGTCCTAGGACTTATGAACCAAACAGAGCCTCAACTGCCCAATGCCCGCCAGGTGCTTGTGTTAATTCCCCTCCGTTCCCGCCGCGCTAGCTGGAGCAGCAGCTACCTGGTGTTCAACTGATTGGTGCGCGAGAGCCCAGGATATTCTCCACGCCTGCTTGGCCTTGTGGTCTCTCGGGTACTCAGTCACACTAGCTAGCTGCTGAATATTTTGGGCCAAGTGTACTAGAATTAGTAAAATGTTTTGATGGTTGCAATTTTCTTGTATGCATCCGGGGATTGGGAGCCCACAAAACTGTTTGCCCAAGTCAAACCAAATATCATTAACCGCCCTTGTGCAATTTCAATTAATTTATACTAGGATTCATGTACGAGTTTAAGGAATCCATCGGGTGACCCAAGTCTTGCTAAATACGACCAGGTTTTTGCCACTGATGGCTTTAATCTTTAGCAAAAGCCAAAGCAAAAGGCAAAAGGAGAAGAAGAGGACATCAACCAGGAGCACGTGAGGAATACTAAATTACTACCACCAGCACGCAAGGCACAGCAGCATCAAAAGCAACAAGGTCCTCCACATTAATTCCATTGAGAGCCTAGCCTTCATTAGAGAAGGACCTGCTGCAGGTTCCAGTCCTATCTTTGTTCCTAGACAAGTAAACAACACTGCTGGCCTCGAGCAGACCAGGAGTTCAAAACCACTGCATACATGAGTTTCTCGAGTGCTGCGCTATGGTGGGAGGAGTGGCAGCTGCGCGTCCTCGTCATCGGCAGCCTCTTCATCCAGTTCCTCCTCTACTTCTCTGACATGGTGCGTAGATCTCCTACCCTGGGCAAGTTCAGGATGTTTGTTTGGGTCGCATACATAGGAGGCGATGCTGTGGCGATCTACGCCCTCGCCACCCTCTTCAACCGCTACAAGCAGCAGACAGTGGGTGGAGAGAGCAGCGCCTTGGAGGTCGTATGGGCGCCTGTCCTCCTCATCCACCTTGGCGGGCAGCCTTGGATAACCGCCTACAGCCTTGAAGACAACGAGATGTGGAAGAGGCATGCCATGACCTTGGTGTCTCAGGTCACGGCCGCCTTGTACGTCTTCTGCAAGTGGTGGTCTGGCGAGAAGCGGCTACTGCAGGTCGCGGTCTTGCTCTTCATCGTCGGCATCCTCAAATTTAGCCAGAAGCCATGGGCCCTCAAGAGAGCTAGCTTCAACAGCATGGTGGCATCTGCTTCATCTAGGCAAGCACGGTGTTTGTGGTGGGATACGTGCTGTTACAGTGCTAGGGATATCCGTTTCCCAGATAACTGGTCCCAGTTCCAGGCAGCTTCAGAAGACGATGACCATTCGCTTAATCAATATGTGGCACTAGCAAGCAACTGCCCACCATCACAGATCCTCTCACCAGCAACCACACCTACTCGGCTCAACTACATCTATCTAGTGTTTGTTGACATCTCTGCCGCGTACACTTGTCGGCTTGACATGCGGGCAGCTTACCTGAGTCTTGATAACAAGGATGCATATTCTTTGCTGCAGTGTGACATTAGATTTATATTTCAGCTGTTGTACACCAAACTTGGGACAGCCACCAGTTTGGCTGGCATCTTGCCACTGATTTTGCTGCCGTTCCTCATCTTAGCTTCCCTGGCGCTCTTCGCCATGAGCCACAAGGATGACTACGATGACCAGGACATCAGGGTGACATACATCCTGCTCTGTTGCACTGCTCTGCAGGAACTCTTGCTGACACTGTCATTCTTGTGTGCACCTTGCCGTAAGGCGTATTCAGGCGCATGGCACAACATGGTTTCTCAGTACAACCTCATGTCCTTTTGTGCTCGCAAGAAGCAGCCCACCATTCTGATGAAGCTTGCTATCTTCGATTGTCTGAGGGATTACCTTAACAAGAATTGGTACATTGGGCAGGAACCTGCAGCTGAGCGGATTACCGAGTTGGTCCGCAAGCACGTGAAAGATGGATGGAAGAATTACATACGCTGCGACGCCGCAAGATACAGGAGATTCAACGATTTCAGGGGCCAGAGGGCCCTGAGGAGGCACCGTCGTCTGCTGGGATGGAGTCTGAGGAAGACGTTCGATGAGAGCATTGTTCTCTGGCACATCGCCACCGACCTCTGCTTTCACGACCCCAACAGCCCCCCTCAAGGACAAGGAGACGTTAATCGAAGTGGTACTGCTAGGGAGATATCAAATTACATGATGTACCTGCTTTCCACTCACCCTGAGATGCTCATGCCCGGCACCAGACCGGTTCTCTTCGCCGCCGCTATCGCAGCATCGAGCGTATCTTGATGGATACCCAGGAACCACTCCACAGTGAAGAAAATATCGCACGGAGTATTGTCAGCATGGTTGCAGAACAGCCATCCACATGGTATAATCCTAGTTTGATTGACAACGCATGCAGCATTGCTAGGGCACTGATGGAGTTGGAAGACAGTGAGAGGTGGAAGGTAATCCAAGGGGTGTGGGTGGAAATGCTGTGCTATTCCGCCAGCAAATGCAGGGGCTACCTGCACGCCAAGAGCCTGGGTGAAGGTGGTGAGTACCTCACCACTGTTTGGCTCCACTGGTCATTAATGGGGATGGAGACCTTGGCCGATAGGCTTCAAAGGCCAGAGCCTCTGCTAGAAGACGATGAAGAAGTACAAGAACAAGAAGGGAGGGAAATAGGAGTAGAAGAAGAAGAAGATGATGATGAAGAAGAAAATGGACGCTCATTGTCTTCCTCCCAATCCATAGTCGGAGGGGATCAATCTGGAGCTGTTCGCCTGGTCGTAGTGAATATGCTAAGAATGTGGAGATGTTTTTTCGGAGTTTGAAGTGACAGAGATATTTATGGTCTAGTTGTTTATCTTGTTTACCAACTAGCACTTTCCGGTTATTTATGGAAATATCACTGATGATCCGTTCATATTTGTATGCCTTGCCATTGTCATCACTTTTTGTCCATTACCATCAAATCAGCTAATTAATCCCCCCCCCCTCTCTCTCCTAAGCTCCTAAGTGGTGGATGCATTCATCTCCCGGCCCGTTGTTTGTAAGAGTGGATTTGGTGTAATTTTAGTCATTTGAACCGATTGATGTAATAAATGTATTGCCACCCAAAGGTCAGAAATTGCAGTGATTCTATAACTATGTGAATATGTGATCTTACCAGATATATGCATGCTTGGGAGTGGGAGGGGGTATAAAGAAGGAATTGCTGCTGGTGAAGTACCAGCAGAAGAACCTGAGAAATTATTGTCTCTCTATTCTATTTGCTGTTGGAATACCCGTGTCTGCATTACCAGTCTGCTGTTGGATTCTGATTTGCAGCTGTATCGCTATTGCGCAGAGCTTAACGGACCACAGCTGCTGTTAACTGCCAGTTCAGCTCAGGGGAAATGGACATATCTGTACAACGGTCACCCCGTGTTATACTTATACATGACGTTCTTGGGTGTCGTACCTTGTGAAGATTACGATAGCCAGCCACACCTTGTTAGTGCATTACTGCTATCTAAATGTCGGGATTTTGTTGTTGCAATTTTGCTGTGTCAGAAAGCAGAGCGTTCAACGATGCCACCAAGTTTGGAGATTCCTTGCACTTGGAGAAATTTATATCAGACACATAGGATGGGGACAGTGGCGGACCTAGGATCTCAGCTAGCTGTAAGGAGGAACCATCAGCTAGGATGGGGCTCGAAGATGCCGTTCGACGAGAACGTCCTCATCTGGTACGTCGCCACAGACCTCTGTTTTTATCACCCCAACACATCCTCTCAAGGCCGCGAAGGACAAGCCACGAAACGCAGCCGGGAGATGTCCAACTATATGATTTACCTACTTCTCATTCGTCCTGTGATACAAATGTTTTGCACCAGAACGGATTTATTCTCCTTGGCCAGTGATTTTTTTTTTGGAAAGCAGCAAGGGACCGCTCGACTCAGAAGAAATTCTTGCACAGGAGATTCTTAACATGTCGATGCAACTCACTGCAACTGATGCATTCAGACGCGCACACCTGAAACTGATATGGTTTCCTATGCATGCGAACTCACCCAAGAACTGATGGAGCAGGGAAGCGAGGAGAGATGCGTGGACTGGGATCCAAGGTGTGTTGGTGGAGATGACTTGCATGCAAAGAGCCTGGGTGAAGCTAGGTTTCTGCATTCATTAAGAAGAAAAGAGTACATGGGAATGGAGGCCTTGGCAGACAGAAGAACAACTGGGTGCCTTTTATTTCTTTCTGCACACGGGCGTCAGCTAGGTACCTTTTATTTACAGCCATCGGCGTCTTCCACAAGAGTCAGAGACAAGCTTATAATGCTGAAGATGTCAAGGTTACATATGCCTTAGTTCTGTTGTACAGCAGTGTTGGAGGTATTCAGCACTGCCGCTTACTTGCATACAATTAGTGATCTTGAGGAAGTCAGTCCGGCCGGGTTCTCAGGTTGCTAGCCCATATAAACAGGCAAATAGAAAGGCTATACAATGGCTCTGGGTAAAAGACCTGGGTGCCTTCTATGAACGGGCTATGGCTACCTGGTTACGGTAGGAAAGTGTAAGTAGGCCAAAAAAGGATGCCATGAATAATAATGGACTAAAGCCTGACCTTCATACCCTACTGGTATGTGCCTTCAATGATGGGGTACTCATAAATAGCTTCATAGGCCAATATAATCTGGTGCAGTTCTTCACTCTTAACAAAAGGCATTCCAGGATGATGTGCATCATGTATTTCATTAACTGCAAGTACTTTCTTGACCGACATCGGTCCATGAAGCCTTGAAACTCATCCTTTCCCGTGACGGAGTTGGTTCGTAAGTATGTGAAGAACAGATAATGTTGAAAGTTACTGGAAGTTGAATGATCGCAGGGGGCAATGGACTCTCCAGCCCAACAAATGTGACCAAGATCTGTGTTCCAGCTTAAGGAGGCCATTTGATGAGAATGTCCTTATGTGGCACATCGCCATGGAATTCTGCTTCTACTACATGGGTCCATCAGTAGAGTACCAATGGGCAACGGCTCTGTGTATTCAATATGCCTCTGGTCAAGGGCATATATCTGTTGTCTGGTGTGAAAGATCTCCTCATCACGGAAGAGCCTTCCGTTTGGTGCAGAGAAATCTCCAACTAAATGATGTACCTGCTGTTTGTCCATCCTGACATGCTATTGTCGGGCAGTAGGTGGAATCTATTCACAACCGCTAATGCTGAACTAGAGAATATCCTCAAAGATGACAGTCCATCGCTTGAGAAGTTCCTTAACTGTGACGAGCCTTCACTCATGGGGATCCTCAAGTGCAATCAGGCATTCCTCAAGTTCTTCACAGGCAAAAGGCCATGTCTTGAGGAAACTGAAAGAGGAATTATGCAGACTATAATTGCCAAGGTGCAGCCTGTAGAAAAGACAGAACAAGTTTTTGAGCGCACAGATGCAAATACACAAGAAGGTTTTATCCAGGATGCATGGAAGCTTGCTAGAGCATTGTTGGATTTAGGTGATGAGAAAATTTGGGAGGTGATTGAAGGTGTGTGGGTGGAGATGCTCTGCTTCTCTGCTTCTCTGCTTGTAGGTGCCGAGGCCCGAGGGTTCCTACACGCCAAGAGTTTGGGCACCGGCGGGGAGCTGCTCACATATATCTGGCTCCTGCTGTCGCACATGGGGTTGGAGACCTTGCCGGAGAGGCTTCAGAGGACGGAGCTTTTAAGTGGAGAAGGAAATGCCGGCGCCACCCCATATACTTCCCAGGTCAGCATCCCCACTGGGGAAGCCACTGTTTGAAAACCCATTTCTGTCTGCATTTCAATCTTAGTTGCTTATTTGCTTATTTGTGGAAGCTTTTTGTAATTCGTTCATTGTGTATTCCATTTGTTGTTTTGCCAAGTTTGGAGATATTATAACTATGTGAGTATGTGATCTACTGGAAGCGAAGATCGACCACCCTTGTGATGCTCAAGGCCTCATGAAGCTACAGCTGCTGCTGGCGCATCTGCGCCTCGACCTCAAGGAATACTTTGAACTGAATAATCTGAAAAAAGCACTGGTCCAGCTTGATGCTTGGCAGTCTGTGTGTCGTGTTATTTGAACTGCCAGATTAATTAGCTCTTATCTCTGCAATGACCATGTCCTGTAGTACGGATGCCAGATTACTCCATGCATGGATGCCTGTCCTGCGTTGAATTCTGTTGCATATTTGTTTGTAAGAGCGGATTTGGTGTGATTAGAGCCATTTGAACCGATTGTTTACCCTGTTGGTAAATGTATTGCTACGCAAATGTCAGAAATTGCAGTGTTGTTTTTCTTCCTCAACCTCCATGATTTTATGGCTATTTGGCTATGTGATAGTATATGCTGGAAAGGTGCTAGTTCTGCTGTGTTTGATTCTGATTTGCCCAGTCAACTTATTACTGCTATCCAAATGTCATGATTTTTTTTCCTTTTATTTCTATACCTATAAGATTTGTTGCAATGTTGCTTCATCACAAGAACAGAGCGTTCAACCATGCCAAGGGTGGAGATTTCTTTCTTCGCGTTCAGAGAAATTTATAACTATGTGATTTGTATATATCAGACACATGGTGGTAGAACCTCATAATGCAATGCCGTTTTCCTCCCTCGAATCATCCAGTGCTGCTGCTGTGTCGCGCCATCCGTAAAACAGAGCGTTGATGATGCAAAGATAAGGTTGCAGCTTGCTTGCATATGCAGGGAAATCTTATAACTGTGATGTACCGCAGGTAACCAAAGACATGGGGATGGAGGACCTCGGCCAACAGGCGTCAGATGATGGAGCATCATGAAGAAGAAGCCGATGCTGGCTGGCGCGTCTACCTGTCAACAAGCTGAAGAAATACCAGCTGAATAATCTGAGAAATTACTATCTGTTTATACATGGGCATAATCCTGTGTCTGTCGTACACATCTGCAGTTCCACTCGTTTATCTACTGATCGCGTGCCAATGTTGGCGTGTTTCCACTATCTGCACCTGCCTGCAGCTTAATGAAACTACTCCAGTTGCCCTGAAATGCCTGAATGACGTAATATGTTCTCGACACGCTGTTGATGTAGTACTGATGGATGATGCTGCCGGAGAGGATGTGGGCATGTTTGAAACACCATTATTGCTCCATGCTACTGCACAATTATAGTGTTGAACGATGCTGTCCTTGGGTGCACTCACCTATATATGTGCGGTTCCTACTTGTGGTGCATGGGGTACGGAGACCCTGCCGGAGAGGATGCAGAGGAGGAACCACCGGCATCGCTCCGCCGACTTGCTAGGTCAGTACTGCTATACCTC